GTTACTTTTTTTTTGGTCTTTTTGAGACAGTGTCTCCCTGTAGCCCCAGCTGTCCTGGAACTCACTATACAGACCAGGCTGGCCTCGAACTCACAGAGATCCACCTGCCTCTGCCTCCCGAGTGCTGGGATTAAACGTGTGTGCCACCACGCCTGGCAAGAGTTATTTATTTTTATTTTATGTGTATTGAGTGTTTTACCTGTATGTATATATACCGCATGTATGCCTGATACCCTTGGACTCCAAAAGAGGGCACCAGATGCCCTGGAACTGGAATTACAGATGGTTGTGAGCCACCATGTTGGTGCTGGGAACCAAACCTGGGTCCCTTACAAGAGCAGCCAGTGCTCTTAACCGCTGGGCCATCTCTCCAGCCCCTGCAGTCCTGCATTTTTACCACACTCTGCACTCTAGCTTTTATTTTGATTCAAATTGTCAAGCCATTCTTCAGGCAAATTCTGTTAGAGACTGAGCCTTACACATCACCTAGCCATTTTTATACCATCCACAAGTCACTTGATCTTTCTCTGTCATTAAAGCTTCCGGTCAGAAACCTAAAAAACGTTCCTTTCACTCAAAACTTCTATTATGTAAAGCCAAAGTTGCATTATTGAATGGAAGTACTGCATTACAGTTGTGGAGCCACACTTTCTGTGTGGGGGAGAGGTGGTCGTACTCTCTGGCTGGGAGAAAGCTGGGTATGAAAAGGGCAGATTCAGTAAACTTGTCAAAGACTTCAGGGTTGGAATAAATGTTTCTTGCTAATATTTTCAAAAAATTTACAAAACATGATACATTTTAGCTTCTTTTAAGGACTTCATTGAAGAGCTCTCTGTTACTCTTAAAGCTAAGAATTGAGGAACCTAAGGGCCTTTGCTTCGTGCCTGTCTTAAACTTGATCCAGCACTTAGTGATGACAGTGAAATGTCTTCATCTTTTACTGCTGTTTTCACTCGCTGAAAGTCAAGGTTTAGAAAAGAACTTTCTTCTTCTAGGCTGGAAACATCTCTGAAAAACCCTATTTGAGTTTGCAAAAAGGCTTTCTTCCCTCTCTCTGTCTTTCTCTGTCTCTCTGACTCTGTCTCTGTCTCTCTGTCTCTGTCTCTGTGTGTGTGTCTCTCTCTTTCTCTCTCCCTCCTCCTCTCACAGGTTAGCTCAAGCTAGTCAGGAACTCACTATATAGCCCAGGCTATCCTTGCCTTGAAATTGTAGTAGTCCTCCTGCCTCAGCTCCCTAAGTGCCCAGATTATAAGCATGGACTATAACACCTGGCTTTCTTATGTTGTTGTTGCTTTAGTATTTCTGAAACCTCCATAGAATAATTCTGGTTAACAGTAGAGGAACTTTTATGGTTTTGCTGATCACGAAACTGTTAGATATAAACAAAATGTTGTTGAAATACCTAGTGTAGAAAGCAAAAGTTGCTCCATGAGCTTGCATTCCAAAGGTAGCCCTCAGTATCTCTTGAACTGACTTTGTGGTTGTTGTATTGATTTAGTGGGAGGGATCATGTGTGCCATAGTGAGCATGTGGTCAGAGGACAACTTGAGAAGTCATTCCCCTTCCACCATATGGGTCCCGGGGTAGAACTGAGGTTGTGAGGTTTGACAGCAAGTACCTTGACCTGTCAGCCATCTTGCCGGTCCACTTCATTGTTTTTAAACAAGAATAGGCATATCCCGGATGTGTTGCTTTTGTAACCTGTTTCCACAGCCTTCCACCCCATTACAGTGACTGCTGTTCATCCTTCCAGGCCTGGTGGGTTCCCCTCGTCATTTTAATGGCTGTATTGTGTAGGCCTCCTTACATGTCAGCGTGTTAGTGCTCCACTGGCAATTCAGAATGCATTGCATTGCATTTCCATAGTTTTATGGGTTTTTTCCTAGTATCTGCCCCATAGTTTATTCCTTCTGTTTGATTTGGTTTGATTTTGATTTTTAAAATACAGTTCCTGTTCCCTTTCTCTCTTTTAAAATAGAATGACAGAAAAAGATTGAAGGTTTTGCACCAGGTTGTTAGTAGTGAGAGTGAAGTTGAACGTAGACATGATGGTCACTTCACTTGGTGTCTACACTTACCTATATGACAAGCACCTCTGAAACTTGAGAAAAGAAAAATGGAATTTGCTAAATTAAAAACCCTATAGAAAATGCAGACCCATGTGGGTAAATCAGCGTAGTGTAACGAGTCAGTCCTTAAGCCACTTCTCAGAGAGGCTTAGCATATTAACCTGCTTGTCTTTAGATTGTCCCCTCCACAATAAATTAATCTTAAATAAAGCTATATTACATTAAAAGTATTTTGCAAATCTCTTAAAATCTAGAGGAATAGCCTCCTTATTAACTCTGAATACCAGCTGCACTGTAGTTACTTTGCTTTTCTCTGGAAAGGAGTGTGCCATTTAGTTTGGCATCAGCACTGATAGAGCCAAAGAGCAAAACTTGACCTTGAGCACCAGTTGGGCACACACCAGCTCCCCTGGGCTCATGGCTGCTCATTGGACACATGGGAGGTTCCAGAAGCTGAAACTGTGACTTTGCACAGCAGCATACAACCTGTGCTTCAGAGAATTACAGACCAGACCAGTGCTCCTAACTGACTTGAAATGCCCTTATTTTCTCCATAATTTCAGGTCCAGGAACAGCCAAGACAGAAGCAACTGTGACCTCAACACCTTCTGCAGTGGGCCAGCACGGCAAGCCCTTCTCATTTGCTCCATCAGGGTTAGTGATGAGCTTGGTTTTGTGGTAAATTGCTAGCCTTCTAGATACCCTCTCCAGACCTTGCAGTCCTCAGCTCTTACCACCCTAAGCTCTTACCACTTCAGTAATGTGTCTACAAACAATAGCAGCAGTTGAATGTTCTAATACAAGTCTATTTTCCCTTTGCAGTTCAAATTTATTACATGTACTAATACATGTTTGGGGGATTTTTTTGTTTGGGTTTTGTTTTTTAATATTTTTATTTCATGTGTATAAGTGTTTTGCCTGTGTGTATATAAATGCATCATGTGTAGGCAATGCCTGCAGAGGCCAGAAGAGAGTGGATTTCCTAAAACTGAAGTTACAGTTAACTGCCATGTGGGTGGCTGGGAATTGAACCCAGGTACTCTGGAAAAACAAACAGCAAGTGTTCTTAACTGCTGTAACTGCTGAGCCATCTCTCCAGCCCCTTGTTTGTTTTTATTATTTTTATTTTAGGTGTATGAGTGTATTGACTACATGTATGTAAGCGCACCCATGTCATGCAATGCCCGTGGAGGTCAGAAGAAAGCATCGGGTTCCCTGGAAATGGAGTTATGACAGTTGTTAGCTGCTGTGTGGGTGTTGGGAAACAGACTCAGGTCCTCTGCAGCAGCACCCAGTGCTCATAACCGCTGAGCTGTCTTTCCAGCCTTTTTCTTCCTTTCTTTTTTCAATCCAGGATCTCATTTTATAGCCCTGGCTGACCTGGAACTCTCTGTGTGGACCAGGCTGGCCTAGAATTCACAGAGATCTGCCTCCCTTGGCCTCCCAAGTGTTGGGGTTAAAGGTGTATGTCACCACACCCAGCAATTGTTTTGTTTTTAAGCCTAAGCCTCAATTTCTTTTGGCGTGAATGTTTGTTCAATTCTATAGGTCATTTGGTGTTTTCATCTAACACCATTTAATGGTTGATGGACATGACATTGGAACGGTATGTACTATACTTTGTGGGCTACACTAAGCTGCATAGAATACAATGAAAGACAGTATCCAGTTTAAAATTCTGGTTTGTAAATAGATTTGTGTGGGGAGGTGTCTTTTGAGTTTTTTTAAACAAACTCATGAAGTTCAGGCTGGCCTCAAACTTGCTATGTAGCCAAGGATGATTTTAAACTCCTGATCCTCCATCCTCTGCTTCCTGAGTGCTGTGATTATAGGCTACAGCACCATGCCCAGCAGGCAGAGATCTGTTTTTAACAAACAATGATGAGGGGCTGGAGCAAGGCTCAGCAGTTAAGAACACTGGCTGTTAATGCAGAAGACTTGGGTTTGAATCCCAGCACCACATGCCATGTCCATAACTCCAGTTCTAGGGGATCTGACAGCCTCTTCTGTCCTCCTTGGGCATTGCACAACATGGGTGCACTTACCTACATGGATGCAATACATGCATAAACATAAAATAAAAATAATAAAGAAAAAAGAAAAAGAAACTGATGAACCGGGTGTGGTGGCGCATGCCTTTAATCCCAGCACTCGGGAGGCAGAGGCAGGTGGATCTCTGTGAGTTCAAGGCTAGCCTGGTCTATATAGTAAGTTCCAGGCCAGCTGGGGATGCAGGGAGATGTCTCAAAACAAAAGACTTCTAAACCTCACCAGAAGGCAAACCTTTATTCACTGTGGCTTGAGAATGCCCGTTCTCTGGGTGTCATGTTAGAAGCCAAGCAAGCTGTGAAAGCTGTCCCTTCCTGCTCCAGTGGGGTCAAATTACCAATGAAGTCAAACGTGCCCATAGGCTTGTTTCTTCCAAAAGTTGTGTGTTTCTGATAGAAGCTTCTTGTGCACTTTCAGTTGCTGCTGTTTCAACTGGACTCACTCCCAAACTCCCTTTCCTTTGATGTGAATGTGCTACTTGAATACCCTACAGCCTAGCGTGAGAAGAGGGCACTGGATGAAGTTGCAGGAAGAGAATTATACATGCATTTTTAGAAATCATGACATCAGGGCTGGAGAGATGGCTCAGTGGTTAAGAACACTGGTTGTTCTTGCAGAAGACCTGGGTTCGAATCCCAGCACCCACATGGCAACTAACAACTGTCCATAACTCCGGTTCCAGGGGATCCAACAGCCTCCTCTGTTCTCCACGGGCATTGCATGACACGGGTGCACTTACCTATATGCAGGCAATACATGCATACACATAAAATAAAAAATAAATAAAAATTTTTTAATGTTTTTTTAAAAAAAGAGGCCAGACATGGTGGCACACGCCTTTAATCCTAGCACTCAGGAGGCAGAGGCAGGCAGATCTCTGTGGGTTCGAGGCCAGCCTGGTCTCCATAGTGAATCCAGGACAGCTGGGGCTACAGGGAGACCCTGTCTCGAAAAGACCAAAAAAAAAAAACCAAAAAAAATAGAAATGACATCTAGGCCAGGGGTGGTGTCGCACACCTTTAATCTCAGCACTTGGGAGGCAGCAGCAGGCAGATGTCTGTAAGTTCAAAGCCAACCTGGTCTACATAGTGAGTTTCAGCCCAGCCAGGGCTATAGGGAGACCCTGCCTCAAGAAGACCCAAAAGAAATCATGATATCTGTACTTCCCAAGGGTAATTAGGAGCGAATTTTAAAGAGTAGGTCAAGGCCAAAGATTACTGGATCCTTCACAAATTAATTGTCACGTCTGTTAAATGATAATTCTTTTCCAATTTTTAAATTAAGCTATAAAGATTTGGGTCGGTGAACCAATGTCTTAGCTCTATAGATAAAATTTCTCCTCCAAGATTGAGGCCTGCCATTAAACAAAAGGTTTTGTTTTTTAGTATAATTAAAAAATAACTGGCATATCCAGTTGAGGAAGCCAGTAGTAGGTAATACAGTCTGGATCCTGGCATTATTGACTAGATTTGACATGCTTAGTCCCTCATGTCTTGAAGCTATCTAGTTTAAAAGTGTACTCTTATCACAGTGTGTAATTGTTCTGGTTCATATTTGTGCCGCATCTTTCACAGTGGCAGAGACAGCGTCCTCTGTGGCACTCTAGGTAGCAGCTCCTGACTCTGCTTGGCCTTGAGATGGCCTCTCAGAGGCTCTCCCTGATCTGCTGCTGCCCTCTTGTCAGACTTGTCTTCCACTGCTGCACTAGGCACGCATCTGTGCCGTCTGTTCCCAGGCACGTTCCTATTGTGATTCTACTACTGTAACTTTACTTAACATAAATGTGCACCTATACTTCATGTGGGAAGCCCAGCCACCATCCAAGGCCTCCTCAGCTACGACTCCTTGCCTCCTGTCCAAAGTGCCTGTCCCTGCTTGGAGGTGTTGGAATGGAACTGCCTTTGAATTGAGTACTTTGACTCTGCTGTTGCTTATTACTAGATGGAAATTCTCCCAGGGCAGACTGCAGATTGTAAAATGGACTATTAGAAGGGTGGTATACATTAGGTTTGTTCCTTTTTAACTTCTCTTTTTCTACTCACCAGGACTGGCTTTAATTTTGGGATAATCACAACACCATCTTCTAATTTCACTGCTGCACCAGGTACGGTCTCCAGGTTGCGTGCATTCTTTATGCTTCCCCTCCATAAGTACAGGTTGTCTTTGTGCCGTCTGTTGACATTTAACTCTTCCTGGGTCTTGTTCACAGTTTCTGCAGTAAGGTTCGTAGTGATAACGGACATTAGAAAAATGCTCAAGGCCTGAGGAATAGCTCCGTGGTAGAGCATTTGCCTAGCCCAAGGGAAGCCCTGTGTTCAGGTTGTAGCTCCTGAGTAACCACAAGATGTTCAGTCAGGAACTTGATATGGTGCTGGCAAGAAGGTTCAACAGGTAAAGGCTCCTGCTTACAAGCCTGACCACCTGAATTTGATCCCAGGACCCACATAGTAGAAGAACGTGGTTCCTGAAGGTTGTCCCTGACCTCCATGTGCACCGTGACACACGTGTGCACACAAACACAAAATAAATAAAATTTTAAATGTAATTTAAAAAGAATCTGATGAGAAGATCAGACTGTTTGCATAAAGAACAGGGAAAGGACTTGCCTCTGGGAAGTTGAAGCTGCTCTAACATTTGAGTGTAAACATGCAGATTAAAATCTGTTTCCAGCCAGGCGTGATGGTGCACACCTGTAGTCCCAGCACTTGGGAGGCAGAGGCAGGTGGATCTCTGTGAGTTCAAGGCCAGCCTGGTCTACATAGTGAGTTCCAGGATAGGTGGGGGCTACAGGGAGACCCTGCTTCAAAAAAACAAAAAAAAAATCTGTTTCCATCTTTTTTTTTTTTTTTTTTTTTTGCGTAACCAAATTGAGTGATTCTCTAAATAAGATAGACAAGACAGAGCACTATGCCTTTTATCCAGGACTCAGGAGTCAGAGGCAGGTGGATCTTTATGAGTTTGAAGCCAGCCTGGTCTACATAGTAAATTCCAGGCCAGCAAAGGCTACATAGTGAGACTTGGTCTCAGAGAAAGGGGTGTGTTGGGGAGGAGGGGACCAAACTTGGTCTTTTTCCTTGATAACATATCAGCAAACACACTGGTTTATATGCATGTTACAGATCTATCACCTACTGTGTTTTAATACAAGAGTGAAGTTTTCTCACTAAGGAAGTTATGAAATATAAAAAGTATATAGGAGTTGATGGGCTGGAGCGATAGCTCAGCAGTTAAGGGCACTGACTGCTCTTGCAGAGGACCCGGGTTCAATTCTCAGCACCCACATGGCAGCTATGAACTGTCCTTAACTCTAGTTCCAGGGGAATCCGAAGCTTTCTTCTGACCTCCGTGGCATTGCATGACACGGGTGCACTCACATACATTCAGGCAATACACTCATACACATAAAATAAAAATAATAAAAAATTTTTTAAAGTATATAGTTGAGCCACACTGCCCCTCTGCAGTAATTGCCAGCCTCTTCTCTTCCGTTTGTGAGTTTTGTCTTCTATTTTTCATTTAACCTAATGTCTTGTGTAAATTTTCCAATACAGAAAATCTTGTATAAATGTCACTTTTACAGCATCTGATGATACAGGCTTGTAATCCCAACTACTCAGGAGGCTGAGCTAGGAGGATCACAATTTCAAAGCCTATCTAGACTACCGAGTGAATTCAGGGCCAGCCTAGGCAACTTAGTGCCAGGCCCTGTCTCAAAATAAGAAAAAGAGGACTGGGGGATATAACACAGTGCTGGAGCGCTTGCCCAGCACAGACAAGACCCTCGGTTCAGTTCCTGTCAGCAGAGTCACTGCAGTGGCTTCCTAGTTAGTCCCAGCGTTGCCATGCTTCGTTTGCTCTTCTGTCTATCCAACACCTAAGGTATTTCTGGCCTATCCATGTGATAAAATAACACAGAGATCATCTCTTGGGTTTCCTTGTCCTTTTTGCACAACCATTTTTTTTTTTTAATGTGTATGAGTGTTTTGCCTGTATGTATGTAAGTGCACCCATGTGTGAAAACCTGCAGAGGATCCCCTGGAACTGGGGTTATGGACAGTTGTTAACCACCATGTGAGTGCTGGGAACTAAACTCAGGTCCTCTGGAAGACTTTCCAGTCCCTCAACAAATCTGTTTTTGTGCTAGGGGACTGAACTCGGGGGCCCTTTTTTTTGGGGGCGGGGGGCAGGGAGACATGTCTCTCATTGTTGCCCAGTCAGGTCTTAAACTCCTGGACGCAAATGATCTTTCCTGCCTCCTCTAAGTAACTGGGACTACAGTCATGCCACCATGCCCAGCAACAAGTCTTTTAGTGCTTTCTATGTGGCCACTCAAGTGCTATAGTTTTCCAGTGTGAAGAGGCTCCTAACATCCAGGGGGGACCAGCAGACACCTTAACTCTGGTCTGGTATGGCCCTAACACTTTCCAACTTTGTCTACATTGTCACCTTCTCCCAACTCTCACTTTCTACTTTTTCGTGAGAGTGTGTGTGTGTGTGTGTGTGTGTTCATGTATGTAAGTGCAGGCAGCACACCTGTGGGGGTCATAGGACAATCCCAGGTGTCACCTTCCACCTTGTTTGAGGTGAAGTTTCTCATTGGCCATTGCCCATGCCAGGCTAGGTCACCTGGGAGCTTCCAGGGACTCTCCTGTCCACAGCTCCCATCTTGCTGTAGGAGAACTGGGGTGTGCACTTTTGCTTCTTGCTTTATGTGGCTCTGGGGTTCCATACTCAGGTCTTAATGCTTGGGTGGCAAGTGCTTTACCCACTGAACTATCTCCCCAGCCCCACCTACTCTCACTTTCTGGAGTAAAAATCAACTCAGAAATACAAAGTTTGGAGAGGAACAAAATCTATAAGGAAATGGGGATAAGATGTGATAGTAGTAATTCTTTATAAACTCTTAATACTATGGTAGATAATAATCCAAAAACTGTAAATAATTCAACACCAGTGATAAAATAGCTTACTCAGCAGAACCCTAGTAAATAGCTCCTAATTGTAATAAAAGGGATTATGGATTGACACTGTATGCTCTTAAAATTGAAGTGCTTCCAATCTGAATCCAATCCTGGCCTCTCAAGACATTTTAGGCTAGTGTGGCACCCCAGCTGGGAGGGAGGTCGGCCTTCGGCACTGCTGGGTGTATTAAAAAAGTAGCAAGGATGCCTTTTCCACTTTGCTCAAGGATAACCGATTCGTTTATATATTCTGGATGTTTTGTGTTCGTTGTGATTTCATGGTTATGAAAAGAATACTTACTCCTTTCCACCTGAGAGCTGACTCAGGCAGAGCTGTTGTTCCTATGGAGCCCATTCATACTGTTCTTCCTAAAGGACCCTGTTGTTAGAGCCCATTGTCCCTGGTGAAGAGACCAGAGACTGACTTAGAAATGCAGTCAGTGGAAACATAGTAAGTTGTGTTTTGCCACATCCAACCCTTTTCTTAATTTCTTTTCCTTGCTAGGGCCAACACCCCCCACTAAAGAGTCAAACCAGCTTGACGCATTCTCATTTGGCGGGGGAGGCAAACCTTTTTGTGAGACCGTTCCTGGAAACTCCCCTCCCACAGGAGCCACATCTACATCCAGCACCTCTGTAACCACCATTGCCTCTCCGGGAGATTCTGCTCCCTCCAGCAGCCGACCTGCAGTGTCTTCTGGAATTGCTCTGTCCACTGCCTCTAGCAAATTGGAAAGTTCATCGTCCAAGTTGGGAGAGCTGCTGTTCCCAAGTTCTCTGACTGGAGAGACACTAGGAAGCTTCTCGGGACTTCGTGTTGGCCAAACGGAGGACTCCTCAAAGCCAGTCAGTAAGACTTCGTCCACAAGCCTAGCCAGCGCCCAGCTGCCCAAACCCTCAGGCACACCCTCAGGATTCAACTTTTCTAGTGCCCCAGTGTTAGGGAAGCCTGTGGAACCCCCTGTGAGTGCTACCCCAGCTGCGCCAGTCACAGCTGCCAGCACAAACACGAGCAGTTCCTTCGTGGGGGTCTTTGGCAGTCTGCAAAGTCCAGGGCCTTCTGGGGTGATCAGTTTTGGCGGGACGTCTCTGACTGGTAGCAAAGCTAGTTTCTCGTTTGGAAACCAACAAACTACTAGTACAGTGCCAGCTGCCCCCCCACCAACCTCAGTTGCCCCTTCCCTTTCAGCATCTTTTCCCACCTTATCATTTGGTGGCCTCCTTAGTTCAACCTCAGCTCCTTCCCCGCCCATATCCTCTGGTAAGAGCACCGAGGAGGCCGCACTGTCAGCTGGGCCTGAGAAGTCAGGCCACAGTGAGGTCTCGGCATCAGCAGCTTCACTTCCAGGACAGCCACAGTCAGCCCAGCCTTCCCAGGCTCCTTTACAAACTCCTGACCCTGTCAAGAAAGAACCCATTCTTGTGCAGACAGCAGACAGCAGCCCCAGCACAGCCACATCAACGGCCAATCTTGTGGCACCTGCAGAGGCCACTCCGGTAGCCCCCAGGGACCCTGACGGCAAGACAGAGGCAGCATCTCCTGCTTCCACCTTCTTGGGGCCAGGGCAGACTGCTGCTGCAGCTACTCTCCCCGGAGCAGGCTCGGCAGCCATCGAAGCCTCAGGCACCCCCGCCACCTCCAGCACTGTTTCCAGCAGTGCCCCAAGCCCCACCACGGAGACAGCAGTGTTTGGGACTGCCACTTCTGGCTCCTCAGTCTTTCCGCAGCCACCCGCTGCTAGTTCTAGCTCAGCATTCAGCCAGCTCTCCAGTAACACAGCCACTGCCCCCTCTGCCACCCCCATATTTGGGCAGGTGGCAGCCAGCACTACGCCAAGTCTGTTTGGGCAGCAGACCGGCAGCGTAACCAGTACAGCCACTGCCACGCCACAGGCCACCAGCTCAGGCTTTGGCAGCCCTGCGTTTGGAGCATCAGCCTCTGGAGTCTTTGGACAGACGTTTGGGCAGGCCCCAGCCTTCGGGCAGGCGACAAGTAGCCCTGCAAGTAGCTTCTCCTTCAGTCAGCCCGGGTTCAGCTCTGTGCCTGCTTTTGGCCAGCCCGTCTCCTCCACCTCCACATCCACCAGTGGGAATGTCTTTGGAGCCGCCTCAAGTGCCAGCAGCCCTGGTTCCTTCTCATTTGGACAGGCCTCTACCAACACAGGAGGGACGCTATTTGGCCAAACCAACCCTCCTGCTTTTGGTCAAAGCCCTAGCTTTGGGCAGGGAGGTTCTGTGTTTGGTAGCACCTCAACTACCACCTCCACAGCAGCACCCTCAGGGTTTAGCTTTTCTCAAGCTTCAGGTAAGAATTTGTAGAACATTTTGACTTTGTTCTCTTCTGTACTATTTAAAACATTTGCAACAAGCCTGCATTGTTTCTGAAAGAAAAAGAGCTGGGCTTAGTGGTACATACATGCAATCCCAGAACATGGGAGGTAGAGGTAGCAGTTCAAGTTCAGTGTTGGTTACATAGTAAGTTCAAAGCCATCCTGAGCTATATAAGGCCCTGTCTCAAAAACACAAAGAGCAAAGAAAAATAAAAAAGGGTGCCAAATGTGGTGGTACAAACCTTTAACTCTAGCGCTTGGGAGACCAAGGCCGACAGATCTCTGTGGGATCAAGTCCAGCCTGGTCTACACAGCAAGTTCCAAGCCAGCCAGGGAAACATAGTAAGATCTTCTCTCAAAACAGAGAAAAAAAAAAAAAAAATCAAGAAAGGAACTTGATGCACATGTGGTCTTGGCACGTTCTGATTGGGTGGGTGCACCTACCATGGCTCAGCATCACTCCAGCCTTGCTTTTCAGCAAGCTCTGCTCTCCAGGTTCACAGGTTAAAAACAATACACCTTTTTAATACAAGGTCATAGCAAGTAACTTAAACTCCTATGAAATTTTAAGTTTGGAAAGTGCTTCAGAGGCCTTAAAACCGTCAAACCTCAAGCAGGCTGACCTTACGTCAGGTAGTACTGGTGGTGGAGTCGGAGCATCCCCATCTTCGCTGTAGTTCCCTACTGTGTGGATATCTCTTATTTCTTCTGATGCGGTCTTCTTATGGGAAGGGGGATACTGCCATTCGCTAGTTTAAAATAAATGCAGCAACTTAAAATTTACTATTTCTGAAAGAAATAAACAGTGCTTCACTATTATGCGTCCAGTTTTAGCAGTTGCTTTTACTTGTAAGAGTTATCGGTAGACATGGCAAAGATCTGTTCCAGGTTTGGCTTTCTGGTGATTTTCTTATGAAAAACCATAGCAATTAGGTGCTAGAGGAAAACAAAGATCAATGATTTATGGTAGGCAAGATTACAAGTAACTGCTGATTCATTTCTTTGATGATGATTATTTAAAATGGCTTGTAATTTATTAACAAGGAAAGGATTTCCCTTTCCCAGTGAGTGTTAAACTTACTAAAAACAGCTATAAGGACACAGTGGTGAAGAGAAACACAACTCTAAGGCCCACTTGATGCTCTGAGGCCATCCAAACAAGTGACCTATTTGGATGACGAAAATGTGATGGCTTGATCCCAAGAATGGGCGAGGAGAAGGCTGAGACTTAAAGAGAGCAAGAGGTTCCGTGCTGTCTCTGTCTCTAGAGCACCATTGTTCTACAGGCAGGATGTAAGACAACCTCCTGTTTAAGCTTCAGCAAACCAGCTTAGCCAACTCAAGCCCCTGTGAGGAGGGCCTTATGCGTTCCTCCCCCATACCTGATAGAATGTTCATATTCAACCTCAGTCTTGTGCAGGTAGCCATAGCTTCTGTGAGTCCCTGAGCACATTGCCTTTGTCATCTCCAGAGTTTCACAGCACTCCCTCCTATCCTCTAGCTCTTAAATTCTTCCCTCTTCCTCTTCTGCAATGCTCTCTGAGTCCTTAAGGCAGGATGATATAGCTGTCCTGTTTAGGATTGAGTACTCAGCAGTCACTTAGTCTCAGCCCTTTGACTAGTTATAAGTCTCTGCACTAACCACTGCCCACTGCAAAAAGCTTCTCTGACCCAGGTTAAGAGCAGCACTAATCCATGGATATAAACCTAACTATTTAGAAGGCAGTTTGACATGTCTGTTTAGCAAAACAGTAATAGATCCCACTGTAGGGCCCATGACCTCCCCAACCTGGGCTTTTGACCAGGTTTACAGTATCAGGAATGAATTCCCTCATGTGGAGTGTGCCTCAGATTTAGTCAGAAGTACTTGGTTAGTCCCGTAATATTCATGCCACTATTGCACCAATAGGCACATCTTTAATGGCACGTCAGTATTGTGGCATACAGGGTAAGGCCACCACCAATAAGACTTTTGATGACTTTTTCCCCGGATGGTATCTGTACATACCTGAATGCTGGCTTTGGTTTTGGTTTGGTTTGATTTAAAAAGACTTGCCTGGGTCAGGTGTGGTGGTGCTTGCCTTTAATTCCAGCATTTGGGAGGCAGAGGTAGGCAAATCTCTGTGAGTTCAAGGCCAGCCTGGTCTACTTAGTGAGTTCCAGGACAGCCAAGGCTACAGGGGAGCCCTGTCTCAAAAACAGACCAAAAAAAAAAAAAAAGAAAAGACTTGTCCAAGTTGAACCTTTGTTTTCTTTGTGTTTTATAGGTTTTGGGTCTAGTAATACTGGTTCTGTGTTTGGTCAAGCAGCCAGTACTGGTGGAGCAGTCTTTGGCCAGGTAAACATGTATGTTTGTCTATTTATAGAAGTACCTATCCAGCTTCCCCCATGTAATATACATAGTTCGTGCCCAGTGTTCAAGCTCAGCAAACAGCCATATACAGTTCTTTGTGTTTTTTTCTCTTTTTTTTGCTTTTTGGCTTTTTGAGACACCGTCTCCCTGTAGCCCCAGCTGGTCTGGAACTTGCTATATAAACCAGGCTGGCCTTGAACTCACAGAGATCTGCCTGCCTCTGCCTCCCAAGTATTGGGACTAAAGGCATGCACAACCACACCAGGCCATATACAGTTCTTAAGTTCCACTCCTCAACTGCCTTGAGGATGTAGAAGTCTCCACCTTAGATTAGAGTCACCAGCAGGGGATCTTTGTCAGTACTTTGTGAAAGTACTTGCCTGGGTTCCATCAACTTTCTACCTGTCCTGTAAGACCAAGGCTAACAAACTTTAATGCACAGATGAAAGCCACCTGCGTACTTTACAGTTGTTGACCTAGTGGCTTCTTTTTTTCCTTTTGAACCTAGGAAGTGACTCTAGGGCCTTGCTCATGTTGCCATGTGCTGCCATTGAGCTGTATTACCAACCTCTTTTTTAGTTTTTATTTTGAGACTGGGTGTCACTAAGTTGCCCAGGCTGAAAGTGTGTGAATGTATCATAGAAAGCTGGAAAAGACAGAGAACCCCCAAAGAAAAAGAAACCTCCTAAGAGAAAATACAACTTATTAATACATTTAAAGTCATAGAAAGAAGAGAAATTCTAAACAGGACAAAAGTTTCCAAACCCCATAGATAAAAACCCACAGAGTGAAAAATTCAACAGCTGCTCAACTGAGCACATCAGAAGTAATCAATTCCAGGACCAGTCTCAGGGTAGATACAGAGCAACCAAGACAAAAGATGAAAGCAGCTAGAGGAAAAAAGACAGCTTACTGCCTATGGAGCCATAATTGGCCAACAACTGATGTCTCAGCATGAAGACAGCCAGAAGAGAGTCTGTATACCTGAATTCTTAGACCAGGAGAAAATACTATTAACAAATGAAGTGAAATCAAGTGTTTTTGGAAATAAACAAATGTTGAGAGGTTTCATGTTTAACAGGCCTGAGGGAAACCCAAGGGATATTTTTCAAGAAGGAAAAATTTGACCACAACAAAATTATGGCTTTAATTTTAGGGTGAAACAAGGCATGAAATAGGAAAACTGTAGCCTGTATGACCTCTGTAGTAATTGTGTTCAGAATGTGTAGAGTGCCCACAGAAGGACCAAAATGGCCAAAATTAAGAAGACCGCTTTCAAGTACCAAGGGAGGGAGCAGAGCAACTGCACACTGTGCATTGCTCATGGGAGCAGGAGACAGTAGAGCCGGAAAGCCACCTCTGCTGACCTAGGAGATCTGCTCTGAGCATGTAACCAAGAAGTGTCCCTTTGTCCACCAGAAGATAGGGATGAAAATGTTCATAGCCATGGAATCATAATAGCTAAACCCAGAAAGCCACGCAAAACTTAAAAGTTAGAGAATGGACAGATTGTGCCAAACAATACAGAGCAAAATGGATGGATGGGCTCCAGACCTGTGATGAGTGAGGTAAAAGGAGCCTGCCGGTAGAGTGCTTTCTGCACAGGGACAAGGAAGGCAAGCCTTACCTGGAGTGACAGCAATTAGTAGCAGTCACTTTTAGGGCAGTGTATATGAGGTCTAAGGAGCCTTGTAAAACACTCAAAATGTTTGCTATCTGGAGCATTGAACTTTATACATGGTTATAGGTATCAGAGTTCAGTGAACTCTCCACATGGAAAGTTTGTGAACTTGATGAGAAAGGAAAAAGCAGGGCTGCTGAGATGGCTTGGTGGCATGCACCCCCCACCCCCATTATTAACGGAAGGGGTTTATTTGGTTGGTTGGTTTTTGGTCTTTTTGAGACAGGGTCTCCCTAATAGCAGTAGCTGGCCTGGATTTGCTAATGGAGACTACCAGGCTGGCCTCGAACTCACAGAGATCTGCCTGCCTCTGCCTCCTGAGTGCTGGGATTAAAGGTGTGCGCTTCCATGCCTGGCTAAATGTAGTTTTTTTGTGTTTTTTTTTTTAAAAAAAAAAAAAACAAAAACAGAAGAGGGGCTGGAGAAAAGGCTCAGCAGTTAAGAACACTGGCTCTTCTTGAAAACCCAGGTTCGAATCCCAGCACCCACAGAACTGACAGCCTCTTCTGTCCTCTGCGGGCATTGCACAACACAGGTGCACTTACCTACATGCGGGCAATACACGCAAACACATAAAATAAAAAATAATAAAATATTTTTTTAAAAAACCAGAAGAACATAGAAGACAATTATAAAAGAAGACAGTAGTATTGCACAACATCACCACTGCTTAATTGTACCTGAGAGTCACTAAAATGAGCATAATGGTACACACATGCAATCCCAGCACTCCTGAGGCTTAGTGAGGAGGTCACAAGTTCAAAGCCAGCCTGGGCTATATAAAACCTTGTCATGACAATAAATAGCCAGGCGAGGTATTTAGTCCCAGTATTCAGGAGGCAGAAGCAGGTGGATCTCTGTGAGATCAAAGCTAGCCAGGTCTCCATAGTGAGTTATAAGGGCTGCTGGGGCTACAAGGAGACTGTCTCAAAAACACCAAAAAAAAAGAATCTATCATTCTTTTTTTTTATTGTCTCAAAAACACAGACAATCAAACTGAAATGGGGCTGGCTAGTGACTTAGGAAGGTACTTGATGCTAAGCCTGACAACCTGAGTTCCATCTGCAGAACCCATGTGGTAGAAGGTGAAGACCAGTTCCTGCAAGTTCTCTGACCTCCACATGCCCTTCCTCCACCCTCCACACAAAAAATAAACAAATATAATTTAAATTTTTTCTTAAATTAGTGGAGCTGAAATAATCATTTTCATTTTGTGTTCTACCATGGGTTGTTGTTGTTTTTTTTAAATAGTCCAGATATGGCAGCACATACCTATAATCCCAGCACTAAGGAGGTAAAGGCCAGGCTGTGCTACAGAGTTGAGTTCTAGGCCAGCCTGTCTCAAGCCAAAAACAAGCAAACAAATAAATACAGACACACCACAGAAAGATAAATAAAACATTAAAAAGAAGGGATAAGACTGGCTAGATAGCACAATGGGAAAAGGCACTTGATGCCAAGCCTTGTGACTTGAGTTCAGTCTCCAGACCCCACATGGTAGAAGTAGAGAACTGACTCAAGATGTGTCCTCTGACCTCCACATGTGGCACACCCCATATACAAACACAAAATAAACATGTAAAGTGTCATTTAAAGCTTTGTTTTGAGGGGAACTGGAGAGATGGCTCAGCAATTAAGAGCACTGACTGCGCTTTCAGGAGGACCTGGGACCCACATGGTGGCCAATAACTGTCAATGGGGATGCTCTCCTCACTTCTGGAAACATTGCACAACACAGATACACTTACACACAGACAAAACACTCACACATAAAATTTTTAAACAGAAAAAAATTTTAGATTTTGTTTTTAATTTATGGTAAGCCAGGTGTAATGGTACAGGCTTGTGACCCCATCTGCTTGGAAGGATGAGGCCAAAGTTTAAATCAAGGCCTGCCTGGGCTGCAGAGTAAACTCAAGGCCAGTGTGAGTAACTTAGTAAGAACCTGTCTCAAAATAAAGGGGATTTAAAAAGGTATAAGGCTGTAGTTTAGTAGTAGAGTGCTTGCCTATGAGGCCCTGAGCTCAGTGTCTAGCAAAGAGTGTTAATAGCAATATTTTGATAATAGCCTAAGATCGAAAGCAGCCCAAATGTTTATCAGCATCCAAATGGATAAATGCATTTGTATCCTATAGTATAAGCTCAGTGTATCTACCTGTGGAAACAACCAATTATAGCTAATTGTGGGTAACTGACAAGCAGAATGTTGAGCCAGAGGTCCAACATAAGTGATAGACTCCATACTGTCCCTTGCCTCTCTCCAACTCTTATGTTTGCAGGCAGAAGGTCCAGAAGTCAAACCAGGACTTTTCCTGTGATGTCAGAAGGCTTTTTAAAAAATATTTTATTTGTTATTTTTATTTTGTGTGTATGAGTGTATTTCCTGTATGTATGTGAGTGCACCCGTGTTGTGCAATGCCACGGAGGTCAGAAGAGGGCTTCAGATTCCCCTGGAACTGGAGTTAAGGACGCTTCGTAGCTGCCATGTGCGTGCTGGGAATCGAACCCTGGTCCCCTGCAAGAGCAGTCAGTGCTCTTAATTGCTGAGCCACCTCTCCAGTCCCCAGAAGCCTTTTTGTATTCATTGCCTTACCTTAGACTTAGGTGGTAGGGTGTAGTCTCCAGAAAACTTGAATGGCTAAACAAAAAGACATAGAAAACTTCACTCCACTATAAATAACCAAGAAAACTCCAGATGGTGTAAAAAGCCACTTGTTCTGAGGGTGTTGGAATTGTCTAGGGCTACGTAACAAATTCCCTGAAGATCTGGTAGCCGGTAATAGTCATTCATTATATTGGATTCTGTATGTATGAATTCGAATGGGCAGAGCCAACTGGCTTGCCTTTGTGGCTGCTGGACGAATGGAAGGCTGGGGGCCAGAGTCACCAGAAGGCTCACTGTTAAGTCCCTGGTTGTCCAGACTGTAGTGGTTAGTTGAATACCTACATTTGGCCTCTCTCTTCTGGGCTTCACACAACATTGTAGCTGATATTTCAAGAGGATGTCAAGCTGAAACTAAAACCTCTCAGGCCCCTTGTGCATCCTCCCAGGTTCAAGAAGAGGAGAAGTAGGTGCCTATTCTTGCTCTAGAAGAGCACATGGGACCAGAAGTATTGCTGTCATCATCTTTGAAAACGTACTGTTCCAGAAAGGGACTACTAAATGAAGGCGGTAGAAAGCCAGGTTGGGCTGAGTCCAGAGAGTGGGGGCCTTAGGTGAGCACAGCTGTATGGCATCTTGAGGTGTGGGGTGGCTTGCCAAAGAATGAGAAGAGGCATAAGTGTCCAGTGAGCAGGAGGAAGTCGGGTAAAAGCCTGAACATTAGGGCAGTTAAGACCCAACAGTGAAGCAGCACTTCATACCCTAGAGGGAGGCCAGTTTAGAAACGTAGCAAGGCTATGGGGAAATTCACTGTCCACATGGGATGGTTCTGTAAAATCGTGCAGCCATTGTGAAATGCAATTTGAGGCTTCCTGCAAATGCTAACATAGTACTTCTGCCAGCAATTTGACGCCTAGGTTTATACCCAAAGGCATTGAAAATGCTCTGGACCAGGTGCATACCCCAGTGTTCAGAGTAGCATTACTCAAAATATCTAAAAGGTGGTGACACCCATGTGCTAATCAGTGAACAGATAAAGTGGTGTAGCTGGGCATGGTGGCGCACACCTTTAATCCCAGCACTCGGGATGCTGAGGCAAGTGGATCTCTGAGTTCAAGGACAGCCTGGTCTACATAGCGAGTTCTAGTCCAGCTGGGGCTACAGGGAAACCATGTCTCAAAAATTAATTAATTAATTAAATAAAGTGTGGTGTGTACATCCAGTGGAATATTATTCAGCCATAAAAAGAGATGAGGTTCTGATTCACACTACACATAGATAACAATAGAAAAAGTATGCTTAGCAAAAGAAGCCAGGTACAATTCTATAGCCCATTTCATTCCCTCTTCTGAGGTGGCCAGTTTATTATGCCCATCTTGCAGAAGAGGGTCTCCAATACCACTGTGCCCTCAAAGTGGAGTCCCTGTCCCTCCTCTGTACAGTGGCCCATTTCTAAAGCCTGCATTATCAGCCAAGGAGATTCAACTCTTGTAACTTGAACGTCCCCTCAAACCTAGTGCTGGTCATCATTAAAGGTCCAGTTTCTAAACAGAAAGCAAGTGTCTGGTGCTCCATGCACCTCTGAGTTAACGACATCCTCCAAGCGTAAGATTTGCTAACTTGGTTGGAATTTGTAGAGGTCATCATTTCAACAATGGGCTAATTTAAACTGCTCTATGTAACACTGGGAAAGTCATTATGAACAGAAAGTGCACAGATTGAGAGAAACGCCTGTAAATCACTCACCATTGATTGCTGAAAGTACAGCTAACATGTTTTATTTGGTGAATCTGTTACGGGGTTGATTTTCCTACTCTGGCATTGAATCAAAAAAACACTGCAGGAAAGTGCCCACCTGCCTTGAGTTACATTAACTTGAGAACTGCAGGTTTGTAGGATGTCTCTTTCCAGAATCAGCCTCCACCAGGGCCGATGCAGTGTCCTTTCTAGAATCCATCAGAGGTGTTCTGGCCATTCCCATCTGCACTAGCTGTGATTGCTTCTGCCCTCAGGTGTGGCCTGATTTTTGTGATGACCTCTCACTTTTTCTTGCTTCTTGCCTGTTTGTCTTTTAGCAGTCGTCCACTTCCAGTGGTAGCATGTTTGGGTCTGCAAACACTGGAAGAGGGAGCGGTTTCTTCAGCGGCCTTGGAGGGAAACCCAGCCAGGATGCTGCAAACAAAAACCCATTCAGCTCGGCTAGCGGGGGCTTTGGATCTACAGCCACCCCAAGTAAGTTGAGAAGAGTTCTCCAACCCTGGGCCTTGGAGCCATTGTTGTGCCTGTGATGTCAGAATTTGAGGAGCAGACACAGAAATTGGGGTGCCCATCCGAGCTCTGCTTGGCTGACTTTTAGATTGTTTTAGTGAGATGTCCTCTATAGTTGTGAAAGACATCAGAGCTGCAGGGAGAGGAGTGGTGGGCGGCTCCTGTCCTTGCTCATCAGCGCCAAGATGACATGAAGCCAGTGCGAGCACACGTGAGCAGCCACAGCAAGCCCACAGTGAGCGCTGCAGTTCCTGTTGCGTGGCCTTCTCTGCCTCTGCTCTGCAGTCCCTTCCAAAACACTGGAGCCTTTAGTTTCTCGCTGCTTACTTTTAGCCTCCTTCTCCTCTGAGGTGGTGTCTGTCAGCACTTTTTTCACCAGTTAATTTCCTTTTTTTTTTTTTTTTTTTTTGTTTTTGAGACAGGGTCTCCCTGTAGCCCTAGTGGGATTCACCATAGAGACCAGGTTGGCCTTGAACTTAGAGATCTGCCTCTACCTCGGAAGGTCCTGTTGCTCTTGAGCCTCATCCTGACACTACTTAACATGGTCCTCTGCACAGTCTCTCTCCAGGAAACTGAAAGACATATTTGTGTCAGAATGAGGAAGCCATTTGATAGCGATGCTTCAAGTCTGCTTTGCTCCTCTCTGACTTCTCTTTACGAAGACACCTTGCAGAGTAGCCTGGGCAAGACGCTAGGAGAGCCCCTTCTAAGAGAGCCCCTTCTAAGTGCAGTGGATTCTTTTTTTTTTTTTTTAATTTGAGAGTTTCAGACGATGTATTTTGATCCTTCCCCCTCTCCCAGATCCTCCCTTCTTGTTCTATGAGTTCAGATCTACAGAAAGATGAAACCTGTTCTCTAACACTCTTCATGTCAGTGTTGATTTGGAATGGTCCAGACACTGATGTTGGATTTTTGATGATAGTTTTACCAAATAAAAGAACAAAGAGAATCTATTTGGTGCCCAGAGAAGATGCCACGTTAGCTTGTCACCCCAAAAGTTAGTCCTTGAGTGGCTCTGCAGAGATGCAGTGTTTCCTGACTGGCTTATTCCTACACAAGTGAAGACTTTTCACAAGAAAATAATTCCAGCAGCTGAGACATTTGTTTAGCCTGTTTTTTATTTAGTTTATTATTTTTTAATTTTATGTATAGGAGTGTGTTGCAAGTGTGCAAGTGCACCTATGTCACGCAATACCCACGGAGAACCAAAGAAGGTGTCGGATCCCCTGGAACTGGTGTTATGGGTGGTAGTTAGCCACCATGTGGGTGCTGGGAATTGAATCCAGGTCCTCTGCAAGGGCAGCTAGTGCTCACTCTTTTGAGGCAGATGACAGTGGCCGCAGTGTGAATGGTGGTGTTCTCAGTCTCCTGAAGACCTGCTGTGTGGCACTGACTGAAGGAACAGTGGGGGGTGTCTTTTCTGTCTTCATGTGCCACACTCGGCTGGCCACTCTTCATTTCATGGCATTCTTCCAGCAGCCTTGTGCAGCCAGAATTGCCATCCCTCGGTTACTGTCAGGAAACTGGGACTTGGAGAGGTAACACCCTTATCCAAGGTCACGTAGCTGCTAGGTAATCTAACCCAGGCCTGGCTGCAAACCTGTTCAGTTCCACTATAATGTGGGACAAAGTGTTCTTTGTTTTTAACTAATTATATAAAAATTTTACTTTATGGAGTACTAGTGATGTTTATGTACATGTTTGTATGCACACACATGTTCACATTCAAAGAAAAATGTCCCTGAAACATTCCTTAATGGTGGGAAAATTTTAAGTCCTTCTAGCTTATTAAGAAAATGAACCATTATGTCATTATCTGTAGTCCCTACCGTACAAGAGAATTCCAGAACTTCTTTCTTTTGACTATTGTCTTTTTGAAATGATATTTATTGCATTTGTTTTATTTTGTGTGTATCTATGTTTGGGCATGCATATGTCTTAGCCTGCATGTGGGGGTCAGAGGACAGCATTGAGGTGTTGGTTCTCTCCTTCCACCATGTGGAGCCTGGGGATCAAACTCAGGTCATCAGGCTTGACAGGAAGTGTCTTTCCCTAAGCTTTTGGCATGGTATTCCATCCAGTCCCCATCCCCAGTCCCGTCCCATTGTCTCATGTCTCCCCCTAACACCACCACCATCCTACTCACCTTCTATGAGATTTGCCTTTTTAGATTCCACAAATAAGTGATGATTACCTTTCTCTGTCTGGCTTATTTCACTTAACATAATGCTTTCCAATCCCATATTATTGCAAACAACAGGATTTTATCCGATTTATGGCTGAACAGTATATAGACTGTTTTCTTCATCAATACCTCAGTTGATGGACACCTGGGTTGTTTACATTTCTTAGCTATTGTAAACAGAGCTGTAATTAAGTATGGCTGTGCAGCTGTCTTACAGGCCAGCTTCATTTGAAAAAGATTCTTTTGTTGTTGTTAGGGAGGTTTTGTTGTTGTTTTACTTTTTTTGAGACAGGGTCTCCCTATAGCCCCAGCTGGCCTGGACCTAGCTATGTAGACAAGGCTGGCCTTGATCTCACAGAGATCCCCTGCTTCTGCCTCCCAAGTGCTGGCACTAAAGGCGTGCACCACCACACCAGGCTAACAAAGGGTTCCTTTTTTTTAAAAATTTTTTAGATTTATTTTTATTTCATGTGTATATGTGTTGTGCCCGCATGTGGTTAAGTGCACCTGTGTCGTGCAGTGCCAGCGGAAGATAGAAAAGGGTGACGGATCCCCTGCAACTGGAGTTACGGGCAGTTGTTAGCTGCCATGTGGGTGCTGGGATTCGACCCTGGGTCCTCTGCAAGAACAACCAGTGTTCTTAACTGCTGAGCCATATCTTCCAGCCCTAACAAGTCTTCTTAAAAGAGAGAAAAGAATAAAGACATGATCTCCTACTTCACAGGGGTTTCAAATCTTCTATCACTGTCCCAGCAGAATCTTTGCATGTCTCATTTCATGTAGTCACACCAGGTTTCCCTGAGAAGAGACCTGTCTCTAAGCTTGCGCTTGAATTTGTTATTTCACATTTTACATTGCTAACTCTAGTTGGGTCAGGAGACTGAAGCTGAAGCAAGGGTCTTGAAATACCAAGTAAACAGAATAGCTGGGAACCTGTCTCATCAGTGTCAGATGTGCTGCCCTAGAGGGACTCAGATGCAGGCCTGCCTCGCTCCGTGAGGGAAGAACAGATTGCCCAGCACACACTCAGTCCTGTGGTGCCCACCACAAGGGAGCTAGATCAGTATCAGTCAGGGCCATCACAGTGGGTCCTTGACCAGGCCCTCATGGCCAGTGATCTCCCAAGGCAGTGACTGTGGTGGTGCCTAGACCGTGTCCCTGAAATGAGACCACTCCCTGCCTAGCTCAGGAGTGTTGCAGCAGGAGTTAGTAGCTGTGCTCAGGCTCTTCTAGGGTGGGCCTGCAACAGAGGGGGCAAGAGACTAGAGAACTGGTCTAGGATGGGTTCGGGGGTGGGCCAACCTACCTCTTCATCTCAACTTTGTTAGCCATGTGGCAATCACCAAGACTTGATATTTTGCTTAGGATTTAAGCCTGTGTCTTTGGGCAGTCTGTTTCCCCGTGTCATGCCTGCCCCCCATCCCATCTCCCCATCCCTACTTCAAACCAGTTTCTTCCTGTCTGGCCTTTCATGCATACAAATTTCAGTGAAACCTACACAGCTACTCGAACATTGTGGGGAAATAGGAATTGTTCCTGACCTCGTCTTCCGTGAAAAAACCTAGAGACCCTGGAGACCAGCACGCTATCTGTGCTATCTCAGTGGCTGTATCCATGATGAGGGCTGAGCTGTTCATATGTTGTCGGGTTTGCATTTCTTGCAGCAAACAAAACTTCTCGCCTATTTGGGGTTTTAGTAGTTTCCCCCTTTCCTTCAATTCTTGGAATAAATTCAGTGCCTAGCTAAGGGAGGGAAGAACCCACCAGCTTAGCATCTGAAAAGTCAAAAGCTTCCTTGAACCTCTAAGAACAAGGAAATGAGACTAGGCATCTCTTTGGCATTCCGTATCCCTCTCTCCAGTCGAACAGAGACTCTGTTCTGCCTGCCAGTCTTTGCACAGCTCAGGCAGCAGCAAGCAAACCGGAAGCCTTGTGGTGGACTTGAGTTTGCTCTGGCTTTGATTTCCCTAGTTTGGCACAGGAAGTAGATGAAAGCAGAACCTGTTCTCTAGAAGTGAAGGCCCCAGGAGGGAGCGACTGGTTGTCCGAGGCAGGTAGACCTGAGACCCTGGGACCCCTAAAGGGGGGCCTCTACTGTCCTTTTTTTTTTTTTTTTTTTTTTGACTTGTAGAGCTGTGCCAGGAAGTCAGTGCTTGGGTGCCAGTGACGTCAAACTCATTATTGGGTACATGGAAATCAGAAGAGTCTGTTGCTCTTGTCTCCATAAACGCTCAGCTGAAGTGGCTCTCTTCTGCCATCTGAGGGGATGTCAAGTAAAGAAGGATATCTTCCTCTATTAAATTTTCTCACACCTGTCCCTGGTCCCTTCAGATACCTCTAACCTGTTTGGAAACAGCGGAGCCAAGACATTTGGAGGATTCGGCAGCTCATCCTTTGGGGAGCAGAAGCCTGCTGGCACATTCAGCTCAGGCGGTGGGAGTGTGGCATCCCAAGGCTTTGGATTTTCCACTCCAAATAAAACAGGTACCCTACATGTATAACCGTGCTTACCGCTACATGCGTACATTTGTGTATGGTTAGACCTCTGGGAGGCGACGTCCTCACGTGTTTACCTCAGGGGAGTGCAGTTGGAGTAAAGAAGTTACCTTGTTCTCCAAATTATTTTTGTATTTTCTGAGCATCTGCTTCTTTCCTAACACTTTAGCCCTGCTAAAAAATTTTTTAAATTGCCAGGCGTGGTGGCACATGCCTTTAATCCCAGCACTCAGAAGGCAGAGGCAGGTGGATCCCTGTGAGTTTAGGGCCAGCCTGGTCTACATAGTGAGTTCCAGGACAGCTGGGGCTACAGGGAGACCCTGTCTCAAAAAGAACAAAAAAAAAAAAAATTTTTCAATTAAAAAGAATAATGCATATAATAATTGCAGAAAAACCAACCTAGCATGTACACTTGTAATCCTAGCAGTTCGGAGGCAAGAGACAGGAGGAGTCACTCTTGCGTTTGAGGCTAGCCTGGTCTACATAGTTAGTTCCAGGCTAGCCAGGGCTACATAACAAGAGACTCTGTTGTGAAAAGAAAAGAAAAACTAAAGAGCACATTGGGAAATGGTAACTAAAGCATGTTATCAGAAACCACAGATTTGCGTGGGCACCCTCACCTCAGCGGTCAAGGCACAGACCCTCCTTACATCTCCATCATTTTTCCCTCTCCCAAATAACTGTTTTAAACTTTTGTTTGGGTTTGGTTTTTTTAAGATAGAGTCGCCCTGTGTACGCAAAGCTGGCCTTCAACTCATGGTCTTCCTGCTTTAGCCTTCTGAAGGCTGGGATCACAGCTCTGCACTACCTCTTCTAAACTTTACTTTGAACTTATTTGTGTGTGTGTGTGTGTGTGTGTGTGTGTGTGTATGCATATACACATACTTTCCACATACCAGACTACACAGCCAGAATACATTATCAGCACTATTTTATCCCAGTATGACTTACAAAATATTTATCTGTAAACTTTGTTTATAATCATCTATCACCATTTGTCATTAAAAGCTTTAAAAGAACAATATGCATTTAGATACCAAACCTCCTGATTTCTGTCGCCTGCCTGTCTAAGGTCTGCAGCTGCCTGCAGGGCTGGTTCTGTGGGTGGGAAGTTGTGGAGTAAGACTGTTGGAGGGGCAGAAGTGGTGCTCGCCGAAAGCCTCTCTAGAGCAGCCTCCCTGCCAAGGGTGGGGGATTTGCCCTTGGATGTGAGCAGGCCCCTGCCTGAAGACTAGAAATGTAAGTAGCTGTGACCTAGATTAGAAGATGACCTTGAAATACAAAGACAGCGGCTTCCAGATGTGTGCTGGGCTCCTTTGTTAGACCCTCTCTTGGCAACCTGGTCTTCGGTGGCAGGTTCTTCCTACCTTTCCCCTAGATTTTAAAAGGGACTAGAAACAGGTATCGCAGCTTTGTTCTGGGGACACACAGGGAGGGATTGCAAAATGAAACGGCTACGGGAGCTTATAGCCCTAATTAAAAAGACAGGTACAGGGCTGGAGAGATAGTCAGGGAGCCAGCCTGGCCTCCGCCACCCTGTTTCTAAACACAAGGCGGGTGGCTCCTAAGGAATCATACAGGGTTGACCTGACCTCTCTACATACCTGCATAGCATACACACTAACATAAAGTCAAATAAAACGACAAGTTTGAACACTGAACTAAGAAACGTTATTTCATTGACCCTTGAGCCTTTTAATTTTTTAGGAACCTGATGTTTTCTTTGCTTCTATTGTCCCTGTGTATGGTTCTGTATCCCAGAATCACATCCCAGTTGATTTGAGAGCCTCATGGTTTTGTTTTTTCTTTCTTAGAGAAAACATAACTCCCGTTTTTCAGAATACTTTTTCTGATGAGGACGCCCGGAGTGAGAACTCTGGCAGGGAGAACCACCTCTCAGCATGTGGTGTCTGAAGTAGTGTCAGTGTGAGAAGATAGTGAGGCAGAGAAAGAGGGCAGCCTTGCATTCCAGAGTGCAGTCTGCAGCCCAGCTTGCCTTACGGAGCTGCTGCTCCCAAAGGTGGAGTCAGACAATTGGACAAAGGGATAGGGTGCAGCTTAGTGGCAGAACATAAGGCCCTGAGCTTCTAGGCTCCACCCCAATCACCAAAATAAATAATTCAGGAGTTCCCACTCCTGCCCCAGTAGGGACGCCTGAGGTGTCAGGATTATCCCTCCTGACTTTAAGAGGGATTTTAGGCCTGTGGGTTGGGTGAGGCTTTGAAGAATTCTAAATGTGTCCATTCGTCCTCCCTTCAGTAAAATGGCATCAGAAATAATACTGCTGGAGGTCATCGAGGAGAGCAAAGGAAACGTGACCCTACAGCGGCCTCACTTGCTAGCTAGCCCTGGGTACTCCTCTGTCCATTGCCAGAATTTCTAAGCATCATGACAAGGAGGGAGGCAGGGGACACATGACAGGGAGATGAGAGGTTCCAGTCCCAGCTCTACCTCCTGCCAAGGCTAAAGCTGGTTGTCTTCTCTGAGCCTCTGTGTCCTACTGGAGGGGAAGAGGAACTGCTGTGAAGCAACTACCAACACCTAGAGTCAGGTCTTACCGTGTGGGCTTAGTAAACTTTTTCCATGCTTCCTAGCTCGCACCAGTCAGCCAGTAAAATTGAATTCCTCTGCCCGTTTGGAGGGAATTGCCTCTCCCCAGAAGCTAAGAACAGAGCGACTGTTCTATTATGTTTGCCTATGACCTAGGTTTGTGTTTTCTCTCTCTCTCTCTCATTGTGTATGTGCATGCATTGTGTGCACACCCGTGCGTGTGTGTGTGTGTGTGTGTGTGTGTGTGTGTGTGTGTGTTTACTCGCCACTCCTTTCCAGGTGACTTTGTATCACTGTGACTTCTCATTTTTCACTCACCTCTAGAAAGAAGTCTAAGCAGTATTGAGTACAAGGCGCCAGATGAAACCCTGTGTCTAGGAAGAAAATGCAACTGGATCTGTGATCAGTTTTAAATAATTCAACTGCAAGGGTTTTTTTTAGCACTTTTTTTCCCCAGTATGTTATGTTTATAGCCCACCACTCTGCATATCATGGGTTGGAATTTCACTCAAGGTTTTAGAATACAGATTATTAACCCAAACATGAGCCTTAGCAAAAAGTATCTCCTCGGCCTCTATGAAAGATATATACACACATCATTCAATCACAAATTATCTGTTGGTCAGAGCATTCACCTGCCAACATCCATCCCCCATATTTGATCTTTCCTGATTCGGGTGATGAAGCAGCAGTGTGATCACAGTGAGACCAGATGCCTTCCAACAACAGGCATATTTTCAGAACTGACATCCCTACTCCTAGGTTGATCCTGTCCCTGATGCTCAGAGGCCCCCAGCACTCGCTTTAGCACATAAAGGCCAACCTGAATCCTAGATAGTGGGGCAAGAAGCTCCTGATAAGGAACCCAGCAACTCCAGCCAGCTTAGCACACCCTCCTGTGTGTCTCTTCTAAACCTCAGAACTACAGCAGCACCTTGGAGATTTGGGGACACCTCAGGTGCAGGGGAGCAGCTCAGATGAGGATGTACCTCCCCATCCATCAGAGGAAGCTGTCTCATACTGGACCTGACCCTTTTCTGTTGTCATCTGTGTGTCCATGGCCCATCTGTGACCACAAAGCCACAGCATCTAAAGGCATCCTCACAGCGGACCTGCACTAGATTTATACTGTAGTCTTCCTCAAGGAAGAGATTCAGTATGCTTTTTATTGAGGCTGCAAGACAGAAAGCACTTGAAAAAATTGTTCTCTACTGAGAGGGAGGGATACTGGTGAGAGCTGTGCAGCCATCCAGCTGTAAATAAATAAAAGGCACCTGGCTGAGCGCCAGCATGCACATCACTCTGCCTCTGCTGTGACCCAGTTCATGAGTTCTGCCAGGGAGGGAGCCCCTCCAGCTTTTGAAGTTGAACGCCTGGCCTCTGTGGTGATAAGCAATAAAACTTGTCATCCTGTGACTGCTGGGTTGAGACACGAGCTTTGGGGATGGAGTTTCAGTGAGGAGGAATCCCAAACAGCACAGGGCTGGAAAGGGCTCTGGGATGGGCTGACAGGGCTGGGGCGGTGGTATGCTCTCCTAAGGTTTCATACACATTCCCGCTGCCTCAGGAAGGCACACAGGGCTCTCAAACATGGGCCTGTGGGAGCTGTCATGGTGCCACAGACCCCTCTGCTCCTGATGATGGAGGCAGCCTGGCTTGGCAGTGTCTGGGGTTGGGATATTACACTTTATTCCTTTGTGTTAGAATTGCTAACGCCCTGTTTCCCTTCTTTCCTTCCTCATTCTGGTTTCTGACTGCTCAATGCCTCTCTTCTGTCTCCTTTCTTTCTCCCTGTTCTGTTTGTTTGCCTCTGTTTTGCTCAGGTGGCTTCGGTGCTGCTCCAGTGTTTGGCAGCCCTCCTACTTTTGGGGGATCCCCTGGGTTTGGAGGGGTGCCAGCATTCGGTTCAGCCCCAGCCTTTACAAGCCCTCTGGGCTCGACCGGAGGCAAAGTGTTCGGAGAGGGCACTGCGGCTGCCAGCGCAGGAGGATTCGGGTAAGCTCTGGGTGGGCCCTGGGGAAGCCGAAAGCTCTTGCCAGCCCAAAGTGCTGGGGCCTGGCCTTCTAAAGGTCCTGCCTTGAAGTAGGCAAAAAAAAAAAAAAAAGCCAAAAGATTCCTGTTGCTCTAGGACAAAGCCCACTGTAAGCAGGCTTCTAAATACAGGGGTGGGTACTGTCTGCCTGCATTGTTGGCTGCCAGTAGGTAGCGTACAGGTCATCAGTGCCCCTGTTCTCTGGGTGGGGTTAAAGAAAGACACAGTCCCACCCTGACCTTGACCACAGCCCGGCCTGCATCTTGAGGTGCTTGTGTTGGGGAGTCCTTAAAGGAGTGCTTTTCACATCTTTCTTTGGTGATTGTTCTGGGAGCAGCCTGTGTCCCCTGCTCCATCCCTGGCCCTAGCTGGAGTTTTCAGTCTCATAGACCCAGGGCTGGCTCACACAGCACACCAACTGGGTAGCTTCCACACAGGGTTACAGCGGGCCTTTTGATTGTCACAGCTGCTCTCCTGTACTACGCATTTCTCTCTAGAAAATGCCATGGCAGGGTTATGCTTCTAAGGGCTTCAGGATTTCAGCCTGATTGCCAAAACCCGAGGAAAAAAATACCTTTGTCATACCACAGTATCCCAAATAAATGTATGTGGTGATGGCTCCACAAGGTCACTCCCTGGAAGGAGATTTTGATGCCCAAAAGGGCTCAGACAGGCACTCACCCTTGGCGCAGGGCTGAGAACACAGAGCCAAAGATTGGAGTGAAAGATGTACTAGGGCTGGTCAAGATGGCAGCAGCTGTCTAGAAAATGAAGTGTGTTCTTAGTCAAACTTTCCTCCGCAGAGGTGCTAGAACACCCAGGGAGAACACACAAGTAGAAGAGGCTTTTCTTTCATCTCGGGGAAACTAAGGGGTCTTTGACATTTCTCCTCTGGAAACTCCAAGACCTACAGTTAAAGAGAGCTTTCGGAGGAGAGGTAGGAACCTATCTAAGCCCACACTCTAGGCAGGACTGGATAGACTCTGATCCACATACACTACTGCAGAGTTTGTGGAACCTTGAAGTTTTATTTATTTATTTGAAAGCAGCTGTTTTCTTTACTAGTAGAAAAATCTGTGTTGGAAGTATAGCTCATTGGTAGAGAACTTGCCTGGCATGCTCAAGGCTCTGGACCCATCTCCACCAAGAGACAGAGCATGAATCAGAAAGCTAACTTTTCTCACCATGGTGACACATACCTGTAATCCTAGCAATTCAGGGGACCGAGAGAGGAGGATTGTGAGTTTGGGCCAGCCTGGGCTACATAGTAAGACCCTGTCTCAAAATAACAATAAAAAATAAATAGAAATAATGACTGGGGAGAAAGCTCGCCATAAAGGACTTGTCACACACATGCATGAGGTCCTGAGGTTCAATCCCCAGCACCCATTTAAAAAGCTAGATATGGTGGTGTGTGGTTGTGATCCCATCACTGATGAGGTGGTGACAGGTGGATTTGGGGACTTGCTGGCCAGACAGCCTAGCAAATCAGTAAACCCAGGGTCCCAGTGAGCAACCCCGTCTCAAAAAGCAAGGTGGCCGCTCCTGAAGAGCAACACCGGAGGTTGCCCTGCACACGGTGAACACAAGGAAGTTAGAGGGCTTATTTTACCCTCATATATCCTGGTTGGCTGGCCTATTCCATTTAGCAAGAACCAGCTCAGGTGTTAAATCTCTGGAGGAAACCACTAGTCTGTTCTGCAGTCACTGGTGCTGTCCTTAGTGCTAAAGATCTGAGGTCACCTCTAAAGCCAGGACTAGGAGGACAGTGGGACCACTCCAGAAGAATACAGGAGAGTTGGCCCTCGTGTGGCTGTGTACGAGAGAGAGAGGCCCTTAGCTCATGTGAAGAAATTGGTACCGACCAAACTTAGTAGTACACACTTTAATCCCAGCACTCGAGAAGCAGAGGGAGGCCTGGTCTACACAGCAAGTTCAGGCCAGTCAGGGCTGTTTAATGAGACTGTCTCAAAAAATGGATGAATGGACGGAGGGTTTTTTTTGTAGGTGGATAGATAAATGGAACTGGGAGCAGCTCAGGGACCTTTTTATGTAAGCATTTACCCAAGTCCTAGCTCTTTTCCCAAGAAACCCTCACTCATTTCTCTGCTGACCTCCAGGAGGCTACCACCAAAACCCTCAGAAAGTAGTTTCCAGTATGTCCCTCAACCCCATTTGCTGGACCAAATCTGGAGGGAGAACTCCTGAGTGAGGTTGCCTGGGGGATTGTCCTGGGGGGTAGCAGGGGAGAAAGTGATAGCCATTTCTACATCACTTTGTGTATTTGTTGATTTTTATGAAACAAAATTTTGAGTAGAACCTGGAAACCATCCCTTTCTGCACAAAACAATGGAAACAGAAGGACTACTTTCTATGCAGAAAGCCCTTTACCTCGACTTTGAAAGTGAATAAAGGACCCAGTTAGTGGGTAAAATTACTTGCTATGCAGCCTAAGTATCTGAGTTCAGTCCCCGAAACCCACATTAGAAGAAGAGAATCTACTCCTGATAGTTGTTTTCTGACTGCCACTTACACACTGCTCCCCACCCCCACTCCCAGACACACACTAATTTTGTTTTTAAATGTGAATAGAGGGCTAGGCATGTAGATCAGTTGGTAGAGCATCTACAAAGCCCTGGCTACATTCAGTCTCTAACACCACATAAACCATGCCTGGTGGTAAGTGTCTAAAAGATGGAACAGTAGGATCAGAAGTTCAAACCATCCTCAGCCACATAGCAAGTTCCAGACCAACCTGGAATACGTGAGACCCTGTCTCAAAAAAAAAAAAAAAAAGGTGAATAAAATCACCAGACTCTGTGGCACTGGCTGGTAGGCCCAGCCTTCAGGAGGCTGAGGCAGAAAAAGCATTTGAGCCCAGGAGTGTGAGGGCAGCTTAGGCAATATAGCAAAAACAAAGAAAAATAGCAGTAAATAGAATCCAGACCCCAGGAGGAGCTAAGAACAGATACATAGGGGAGGGAAGGGGGCCAGTGAATCTAAAGATATCTAAAGCAAAAGGCTGAAAGTCCAAGGTGTTGGTAGAACGACACACGTGGTGCTGCTCAGTCACTATGGGGCTGAAAACTACAGCCCAGCAGGTTGGATTCCACACTGCGTTCCTGTGTCCCCCTCCCAGAGCTGAGGTAGAGGCTTGCTCTGGGCTGTAGCCATGTTCTCCAAGGGCCTGTTGGCCCAGATCAGGCCTTTTACCACAAATCGGGTCTGATTGTGCCCAAGACAGATGAGAGTGGATGAGGAGTGGGGCTGGCACAGGGACTGTGGGCCACCCTCACCCCTCCATTTCTCACTGGAACCCAGGTTCGGGAGCAGCAGCAACACTGCGTCCTTCGGCACCCTTGCCAGTCAGAACGCGCCCACCTTTGGATCCCTGTCCCAGCAGTCTTCAGGCTTTGGGACCCAGAGCACTGGATTCTCTGGGTTCGGATCAGGCACAGGAGGTAAACAGCCAAATTCTTTCCTCCCTCACAAGCACCACAGTCCCTCCCACCTTCTCCCCCGAAGAAGTGAGTCTTCCTAGCTGTTCAGTTCAGCATTTTAAAAGCTGAAAGCGGTTGAAAAATAAAATGTTCTTTTAGGTTTTAATTAGACTAGCAACATTGTACCATTTCTGATCAAATAAAGAAATTTCTGACTCCATTTTCTCTCAGGAGTTGAGAACTCTAGATAATAACAGTCCTACCCAGCTTTGGTTTCAAAAGCTGAAGCAGCACATTCAAACACCAGCATGTTTTTGAAACCAGGAACCCTCACAAGATGTCTTGTATTTGTATAGCAATCTGCGTCTTCAGAGAGCACAATCTCTGTGTTCTGTGTTATCCTCACCACAGACTGAGGAGGCACACAGAGAACTTAGCAAAATTGTGATGTTAAAAATGAGGAAAGGGGCTGGAGAGGTGGCTCAGAAGTTAAGAAGACTGGTGGTTCTTGCAGAAGACCCGGGTTCGAATCCCAGCACCCACATGGCAGCTAACAACTGTCTGTTAACTCCAGTCCCAGGGGATCCGACAGCCTCTTCTGACCTCCGTGGGCATTGCATGAGACAGATGCACTTACCTACATGCAGGCAATACACACATACACATAAAATAATAAGCTAGGCATGGTGGCGCACGCCCTTAATCCCAGCACTCGGGAGGCAGAGGCAGGCAGATCTCTGTGAGTTCAAGGCCAACCTGGTCTACATAGTTCCAGGACAGCTGGAGCTACAGGGAGACCCTGTCTCAAGAAGACCAAAAATGAATGAATGAATAATGAATGAATGAATGAATGAATGAAAGAAATTTTTTTAAATGAAAAAAGGATTAAGCTAAGTAACTAAGACGGCCAGAGCTACGTGCAGCTCCAGCCAGGCCCAGAGCGCTTGCTTCTTCGGTCTCAGGAGGAAGCAGGTAGATGTTTAAAAAGGAAAAACAGCCCCGTTTTCCTGATGAGGTGGCACAAGGGAGCAGTGCCACAGACCCTCTGCCTGCAGCCAGTGTGGGGAGGCTGGGAGAGCTTGAAGATACTGAGCTAACACTAACAAAGTAAAGGGGTGCCCGCTTTCTCCCAGAGTAGCCAGGGGCACATGAGGATAACTCTGCCTCCCGCACACACCTTGCAGAGCCGGGCAGCGGGGCTCACTGCAAGAACCACGCAGGAAGGAGCCTGCCTGCCTGAGAGGCCCCGGTTCATGGACATGTGTTGTAACCTCCCATTTCTGTTTTTCAGCATTCAGCTTTGGATCATCTAACTCGTAAGTAGTTGTCTCCCATGTGGAGTCTGACCTGGCTTAATCTGTAAAGTGGAAGGGGCTGGGGTGTGGAAAAACTCCCAAGCACTAATTCTTACTGGACTTGTGTGCTTTGCCCTGTTTTCCTGTAAGATGTGCTGGAAGATCAAGGTTCAGCCGCAGGCGTTGGGCCTGCAGGCAGGTAGGAGACAGCCAGAAGGCCATCCTGGCCAGCTTGAGGCTATGAAAGGAAATTGGCCTTCCATGAGGCGGGGTGTGGAGACACTTTCTCATCTCCTTGGTGGTGTCTCCAGAGCCTCCTACTGCAAGCCAGGCTCCAGGCCTGACTCCAGACTTGCATGTTGGGCCTCACTCTGCACTTCTGTGTTGAGTCAGAGTGGAGTCCAGAGCCCTGACCTCTACCACAGGCAGGTGCATTAGCATCGCGGGAGCCAAAGAGCCAATACTGTCTCCTGCCCTTGTAGGTCTGTCCAGGGCTTTGGTGGCTGGAGAAGCTGAACCGGTGTCAGTGTTCCTTTCCGCTCCTGTGACCCATTGTATGCGGCCCTCTCCAGCAGACGAGGTAACAGACGGTCAGGTGAACTTTCTGAGGGAAACATCCACCCAGAAAGAAACAACGGAGACCAGAACTCGAGGGACGCCTGGCTGCTCATTTCATTTGTTCTGTTTCGTGTCAGGTTTTCCCTGCTATTAAACCCTTTGGCTGTTTTGTACAGAACACGTGTGGGTTTATTCAGGTCACATCCAAGCAGAGAAGTTCTCTTGTTTCTATGGCTCAGAGAAACCAAGCCAGTGGGCTCCGGTCTCACTCCAGGTAGAACCCTCCACACAGGAAAGAGGCAGGATGTGGCCAGACACCTTCCGTAGACTGCACCTTGACATCCTCCTACCGTGCCAGACTCCTCTGAGGGCCACTGTGCAATTGGGAGGATGCTTTGAGATGGCCTCCCACATCATCAGTCAGTTGGGTTCCAGAAGCAATGCTCACACAGCCAGTCGGGAGGCAGGTATGGCAGACAGACCAGGGGCACAGAGGCTCAGCTGCCCGTCATGTGCTACCTGTTGAACAACCTCACTGCCTCATCTCAGGCTCCTACAGGCTGTACCTCCGCTTTATATATCCACTGCTAGTTTCTCCTATCTGGAGAGGAGCAGTGTACTGAGGTATGGCCTTAACATCCAGTATAGGACAGATAGACTTGGCAAGACCACCTAGCCCACTGTCTGGGACACAGCTACAAAGTACCACCAGCAGGATGGTGCTAGCTTGACACAGTTCGCTGCCTGGCTGTGCCTTCATAACTCCATTTTGGGCCTGGCCTGTCTGCTCCTTAGGCTGTGAACCCCCAGACAGTTGCAACCAAGGCCCACTCCTCTGCAGAGACCTACATCATGGCAGTGCATTGGCTGGGCTCGTGGCGGGTGGGGGCAGAGCAACATGGGGGCTTGGGGAGATGACTATGGTTCAGAGTTGGACATCCTGGAGAGTTGTTATTTTTTAATGTCCTAATAAAAGTCTGACACATACTATTAGTTTGTCATGGAGCGGCCAATGTGACTCTCAGATTCTGTTGACTTGTTTGGGGACCGTGGACCGCACTGATGTCTCCTCACACCACAGCCTGCTCACGTGTACCCTGCCTGCCTTGGCCTCGACCAGGAAGCTCTTTGTGAAGTACAGATTCATGTGCCTCCAATCCTGGAGACTGATTCAGTGGGAGACATCAGGGTTGGGCACTCACCTGTGTGGTAGGCTGTTTCTTGATCTCCTAAGAGGAGCCTCAGAGTCCCCTGCTGGGCAACAGCAACATCTCCTTGACCCAGCCACCAGCAAACCAAGACCTAGAATGAAGAGCACAGCACCGTGGGGACTGTTAACCTACCCTGGGGTTTGTGACAGAAGAGGGACTTGTCTGTGCATTCTGCTAATCAGGGGCTCTGTCTCTTGTGAAGAGCTGGAGCCTTTAGAGTCTTACTGTGGGGCCTTTTGGGTCCTCTGGGGAGTAGAGAGCCCATCACCATTGTCCATTTGAGGCCCCTCAGGTCTGTGGCAGGCCTGTTTCCACAGGTGCTTTTGTAAGGTTGCACACGGGGATCTTGAAGCCAGGGACTTCAGTTGTGATAGGGAAAGCTCACAGCAGAGGGTCATGTAACTAACTGGGTGACAGAAGTTCTGTTCTGCCCTTGGCCGGTCGTCCTGTCAACCCACACCCACCCAAGCTGGTCTTCTGCTTTATGTTTTCCCCACCGGCTCCTTATATAAATAGAAGCCGGTTCAGCCTAAACCCTTGACCTCAAATTCTCTGCGTTAATCCATTGTGGTGGCATGTGGCATCTCTCCATAAGGCCATATCAGCTGTGCTGGGTCAGATAACACCCCACCACTCACTGTCATGTGGTGGCACCAGAGGAATGTGCTCTGGTGTCTGAGCCCCTCAGAGCTCCTTTTTTGGGGTGGATTACAGTGGTAACTGGCAGAGTCAAGTCAGCTCAATATCCAGTGTCCCCTGAAGTCCAGGATGCTGGTCTGAGGATGCTTAGTGGTTCCTGCCTGCTCCAGGAGATCCTTGAGGTGTGGGTGTCACACAGGCCCAGGAGATGGCTGTGTCAGCTCGGAGCATCGTGGTACAGGGCAGGCAGTAGGCAATCAGCCCTTAGCTGTGCTTCATGGTACTTAGGAAAGGAGGAAGAAAAGGGACAGGTAGATTTTGTAAGTTAGGTCACTTTTGGCTTCAATTTTCTAGATATAAAATGAAATTGCATCAATTGGTCAAACAGTGGTAGAGGTTATTCAGTTGGTCTGTCAGGGACAAAGACTCCCATAAACGCAGTAGCCCCCCCTCTGCATAAGTCCCTATCCCTGTACCAGTGTCAGTGGCTAAGCCTGGTCCCCTTGCACTGCCCTGCCTATTCTCCATATCCTAGTGCTTGCCATTTCAGGCAACCTCCAGAGAAGTTTCTAGGTGAGGTTTCTAGCAGTACAGAAAGGACATGGACCCAACCCAGAGCCTCACCAGCTCTAACGAGAAATAAGCCTCTTAATACCTAAAAGTTAAGATGGAAACCAGGATGCCTGCTTAGCAGGTCGGGTGGGCCCGGGCAGTGGTACCTGCCGAGTACTCTCTCAAAGCCAGTGCTCAGTGGTGACTGTCGTTCCTGTGTACAGGATCTTGTGTGACATTGGTTGGGTTCGGTCCCACATAGACTCTCACAGGGCCTCATCTGCCCCTAGTCAGCAGGCCGTCTAACAAGCACACAACTGTAGGCCTTGCTGAGTGGCATCCCTTGCCACAGTGTGACCCATACTTAGAACTGCTCATCTAACTTGTTCCGATCTAGCCCAGCTGGTGTGGACCCTTGAGTCCACCTTTGACAGGCAGGATGCCAGATCAGATGTGGTCAGTGGGCCCATCTTTAAATGTTACTTGTCAGGTGAGTCCAAGGCAAGGGATCTTTCTGGAATTGTTAAGAAACAGTAGCTTCATTTTAAGCTATTCTCTGAGCACCTCAAAAAAAAAAAAAAAAAATCTCTAACAGCACAAGTGGGTAGCCAACCTCCTTGCCGCTGCCCGTCTGTGAAGCCCCTGACTGACAGGAAGTGCCTGCCTGACCCTCATCCTGCCATCTGGATGCAGCCCACTGCCACCTGTTCTTTGGCTTGCCCCTCAGTCCTGTTACACCTTGGTGCTGGCTAGCAAGAGGAGGGTCCAGGCCTCTGAGGTCGCCTCTCAGCTACTTTCTTTCTTACTTCATCAACTACCTGATTCCTGGTTCTTAATTTCTAGCAGAGAACCTAGCCAGTCTTTTAAGCACTTGCTTTTTAGCAGACAAAACTGGCCCAGATCCAGGGCTCCAATCCAGGGCTCCTTACCCTCATCACCCAGTTACATGTGAGCTTTCCCATCACAACTGAAGTCCCTGGCTTCAAGATCCCCGTGTGCAACCTAACAAAAGCACCTGTGGAAACAGGCCTGCCACAGACCTGAGGGGCCTCAAATGGACAATGGTGATGGGCTCTCTACTCCCCAGAGGACCCAAAAGGCCCCACAGTAAGACTCTAAAGGCTCCAGCTCTTCACAAGAGACAGAGCCCCTGATTAGCAGAATGCACAGACAAGTCCCTCTTCTGTCACAAACCCCAGGGTAGGTTAACAGTCCCCACGGTGCTGTGCTCTTCATTCTAGGTCTTGGTTTGCTGGTGGCTGGGTCAAGGAGATGTTGCTGTTGCCCAGCAGGGGACTCTGAGGCTCCTCTTAGGAGATCAAGAAACAGCCTACCACACAGGTGAGTGCCCAACCCTGATGTCTCCCACTGAATCAGTCTCCAGGATTGGAGGCACATGAATCTGTACTTCACAAAGAGCTTCCTGGTCGAGGCCAAGGCAGGCAGGGTACACGTGAGCAGGCTGTGGTGTGAGGAGACATCAGTGCGGTCCACGGTCCCCAAACAAGTCAACAGAATCTGAGAGTCACATTGGCCGCTCCATGACAAACTAATAGTATGTGTCAGACTTTTATTAGGACATTAAAAAATAACAACTCAGCCGGGCGTGGTGGCATATGCCTTTATCTCTGTGAGTTCAAGGCCAGCCTGGTCTACATAGTGAGTTCCAGGACAGCTGGGGCTACAGGGAGACCCTGTCTCAAAAAACAAAAATAAATAAAAATAACAACTCTCCAGGATGTCCAACTCTGAACCATAGTCGTCTCCCCCAAACCCCCGTGTTGCTCTGCCCCCACCCCCCCACGAGCCCAGCCAATGCAGTGCCATGATGTGGGCCTCTGTGGAGGAGTGGGCCTTGGTTGCAACTGTCCGGGGGTTCACAGCCTAAGGAGCAGACAGGCCAGGCCCAAAAGGTACTGCCCCAGAGAAAGGAACCTGCCCTAAAATGGAGTCGCGCAGGCAAGGCCACCTAGAAAACATCCAGTCAGCACAGCCCCAGAGGCCAGGTCTGCCCAGCTCCCTTGCAAATGGGGCTTGCTGAGCACTTCCACTGGCCTGTGATGGCCCCTGATGGAGGCTGCTGCCCATCTACCTTCCATCGCCATGTCCTCTGAGGTCCCACTTTGTGCTTTCCAGAATCCCACAGGAGGTCGGGCAGGCCACAGACTCAGCCAGATGACAGTTGCCACCCTTTGTTACCCCCTCTCCATCTATGAATAGAAGTGTCCACACTGCAGCCCTGGCCGGAGATGCTCCACATTGTTCTCGGGTCTCAGTCAGCAGCTGCAGAGTTTGGGCAGGAGTACAGCGGGGGACCGGAAGGCAGGAGCCCAGCTCCTCTCCCAGGCCTGCTCCCTTGCCACGCCCCCTCTAGCCGGTCTTGTTCTCAGAGGACACAGATGCAGTTTGTGCCCTGACCTTCCATCTGGAAGGGGCCTTGAATGGCCTGCTCCCCTTCCTAGGCCCCTCTTGCCTCCCTCCCCTGGGCTTCTCCACACTTTCTGCTCCATCCTCAGCTTCTGCCAGTGCCCCTGCTCCCTTCACTCCCCTCAGTCTCAGTGGAGAAGCTCTTGACCTCTCAAAAGCTTCCTGGACCACCTTCCCACTCCTGCCTCATGGCCTGCCTAATAGGAAGCACACTGCGTTCTGATGTGTGTCCTTGGTGATTTACCTTGTGTCCTTGAGCCCCAGTGGTCACTCCATAAGGGCAGGACCATGTTGGCCTTATCTGTCCCCAGCACCTAAACTGAGCAAGAAGTTAGGAAGGACCAACCCA